GTGGGGTAATATAGAAGCATAGCTGCTCGGGTACCTTTGAGCTCAGGAGTTAATTCTGAATTTAACTTGAAGAGTCTGCCGCTCACGTTTTGCGTATTGGTAAGAACCTCCAATTCCGCGAGCGGGTATAGTGTTCGTAAGGAAGGAAAAGCCGAGTATTTTGATCATGGAAACGTCTTCCAGACCAAATCTTAGGTCAGAAGTTGTTTTTTCTAGTCCCAAGTCGAGACTTATCGTCAATCCGCCATAGTCCCAAGTCGAGACTTATCGTCAATCCGCCATGTTTGGCCGCTATCTGCAGACCCAATCTTGGCCTCCTCAAAAATAGACTATTCCGTCAGCCGATATCCTGTCGCCGCATCCACACGACATCTTGAATTGGTTCACTGTTCCGAGTGCTTTCCCAGCGGTGGGGTTTGCCATTCAGGGTTGGGTCCCTCGCATGCTGACTGCCCCCTCGAGGTCACTTTCCAGCTGAAACATGGTAAAAATACAATGCCCCCAAAGAGGGTCATTAATTTCATCGTGAAATATTTGAAGTGAGTCTGCAAGTGCTCTATTTCGCAAATCCCCCCTACGCCCCCGACAGAGAAAGGCGAGCCTGCCAGCAAAACGCTCAATTCTACACGTTGCCGTCGTTTCGCTCAGTTCCGTCAATGACAATTCACATTTGTAATAAGCTGCATTTCAATCGTTTGCTTGGTTGTCACCTAGGTGACATCTAGCTATAATACTCTGAGGAGTACGATCATCGGAGAGGAAACACGATCGCACCTGGTTTTTAGTTTCAGAGCGTACATTCCATTCATACTCGGCGAATTTTTGTCCTAGCGTAGACGACTCCTCCTCTTACTGCACAAAAGGACGCCGAAGTCACGGTCAGCGCTTGTGACAGGACCAGCACGTTCGAGCGTCAATGTGAATACGCGGGCTTGAATCTTCTCTGGCTGAAACACACACCTTTCTTTCAAAAAAAGCGAGTCGCCTAAGCTTGCGTGGGGTAATATAGAAGCATAGCTGCTCGGGTACCTTTGAGCTCAGGAGTTAATTCTGAATTTAACTTGAAGAGTCTGCCGCTCACGTTTTGCAAGGCGACGTATTGGTAAGAACCTCCAATTCCGCGAGCGGGTATAGTGTTCGTAAGGAAGGAAAAGCCGAGTATTTTGATCATGGAAACGTCTTCCAGACCAAATCTTAGGTCAGAAGTTGTTTTTTCTAGTCCCAAGTCGAGACTTATCGTCAATCCGCCATAGTCCCAAGTCGAGACTTATCGTCAATCCGCCATGTTTGGCCGCTATCTGCAGACCCAATCTTGGCCTCCTCAAAAATAGACTATTCCGTCAGCCGATATCCTGTCGCCGCATCCACACGACATCTTGAATTGGTTCACTGTTCCGAGTGCTTTCCCAGCGGTGGGGTTTGCCATTCAGGGTTGGGTCCCTCGCATGCTGACTGCCCCCTCGAGGTCACTTTCCAGCTGAAACATGGTAAAAATACAATGCCCCCAAAGAGGGTCATTAATTTCATCGTGAAATATTTGAAGTGAGTCTGCAAGTGCTCTATTTCGCAAATCCCCCCTACGCCCCCGACAGAGAAAGGCGAGCCTGCCAGCAAAACGCTCAATTCTACACGTTGCCGTCGTTTCGCTCAGTTCCGTCAATGACAATTCACATTTGTAATAAGCTGCATTTCAATCGTTTGCTTGGTTGTCACCTAGGTGACATCTAGCTATAATACTCTGAGGAGTACGATCATCGGAGAGGAAACACGATCGCACCTGGTTTTTAGTTTCAGAGCGTACATTCCATTCATACTCGGCGAATTTTTGTCCTAGCGTAGACGACTCCTCCTCTTACTGCACAAAAGGACGCCGAAGTCACGGTCAGCGCTTGTGACAGGACCAGCACGTTCGAACATCAATGTGAATACGCGGGCTTGAATCTTCTCTGGCTGAAACACACACCTTTCTTTCAAAAAAAGCGAGTCGCCTAAGCTTGCGTGGGGTAATATAGAAGCATAGCTGCTCGGGTACCTTTGAGCTCAGGAGTTAATTCTGAATTTAACTTGAAGAGTCTGCCGCTCACGTTTTGCAAGGCGACGTATTGGTAAGAACCTCCAATTCCGCGAGCGGGTATAGTGTTCGTAAGGAAGGAAAAGCCGAGTATTTTGATCATGGAAACGTCTTCCAGACCAAATCTTAGGTCAGAAGTTGTTTTTTCTAGTCCCAAGTCGAGACTTATCGTCAATCCGCCATAGTCCCAAGTCGAGACTTATCGTCAATCCGCCATGTTTGGCCGCTATCTGCAGACCCAATCTTGGCCTCCTCAAAAATAGACTATTCCGTCAGCCGATATCCTGTCGCCGCATCCACACGACATCTTGAATTGGTTCACTGTTCCGAGTGCTTTCCCAGCGGTGGGGTTTGCCATTCAGGGTTGGGTCCCTCGCATGCTGACTGCCCCCTCGAGGTCACTTTCCAGCTGAAACATGGTAAAAATACAATGCCCCCAAAGAGGGTCATTAT